AGATAAAATCATAATCAAATATGTTGAAAGATTAAAGGATAACAAGGTCAGAGCGAAATACGTTCAAATGAAGTCCTTTATTATCAAACGTTCATTACAAAAATGCAAAAATACAAATAATGGATGCTCTACAAAATAAAATTAAAAGTAAACTAATCTCCTGGTTGATCGCTGAGTAAGCCTCACACAGCCTTCCTAAATGCATCGCTACAATGGTGGGATTGTCGAGTAAGAGGGTTGACTAGCCTCACCACCTTCCTAAATGTATCGCTGCAATGGCGGGCAAAGAGGCTGAGAAGCACTCTCAGCAAGCAAGTTGAGAAGCACTCTCAGCAAGCAAAATGGCCCGCAAGCATCCCAAAAATTGCCTTCTATCATCGACTCCTTGTAAAGGACAAAGAGACGATGGGAAGAACTTCGATGGTAAAAACTTTGCTGCTGGCCAGAAAATATTTCCTATACCTCCCACACCAAAGGTGACATCAAGGTAAATAGTAAAATGGGCGGACTAAACAGTCCATTTTCGGATCGGATTGATTGTCAGAATGCCAAGCAATGGCAGCAAACTAGTTTCGAAGAAGAAAATGAAGATGAAGATGGAAGATGGAAAATGCGAAGCATTTATAAGGGGTGGAGATGAAGAGACAGAATATGAACAGCCACATTTCTGCCTAGTAAATGGAATTAAATAGCCCAAAGTCTTGGGAAAAGTGGTGGAAATATCAAAAGAAAATGGACAAGATTTTTAGCACAAAGCAGTTAAATGCTTGAAGAATTGACGACTAAAAAAAACAAACGTCAAATAAATGCACAAGAAGTTAATGTTCATTAATGATGAACAAAGTTACAAAGGGAAAATCAAATTACAAAAAAAAAAAAAAAAAGGGACATCATGTGTCTTAATTACAGTCCACCCCATACTGAACGAATTCGTTTCCTCAGTTTTTCCCAATCCTCGTTCTGCCGAGAGGAAGTGATGTTCAATTCGGCCGCAACATCATCATCAACTTCCAACTTCTTGTACTGCTCGACCAAGGACATAGTTCGCTCAATTCCCTGGGAGGCGTTGCACTTTTTAGCAGCCATTCTCGTCCTGCAGTCGTCCATTTTGGCTTGAAGTTCCTTCATCTGAGCAGCCAAATTAACCATCAAAGAGTCTTCAGCCATGATTTCGGAAGAGATTTCTTTCAACTCGTCCTCAGCTTTGTTAATCTCCATACGCAAAGACTCTTTCTCAGCTACGGCTCGAAGATATTGAGTACTTTTGGCCTTTAGTTTAGCATTCTTGGCCAGCAAAGAAAGGACCTCGGAGTGGATAACCTTCAACGTCGCTTTAAAATCAGCAGAAAGATTGAGCGACGGAAGCATCAGTGCTTGCTCCAACTTTGCATTCAAATGCTCAAGTTTATCCTTGTGTCTGGCAGCACTAGCCCTTCCAATGTCCATATCCATGAAGGACACGTACTCAAATATCGACTCCTTGAGGAACTTCAAATCTTCCTCTGAAGAAGCGGTAGGATGATCAGATGGAGCAGGGCGAGACGTCTGGACTTGCCCCCAGGAAGCGAACAAGTCTTGGATAGAACGCACAATTTTGTTAGCATCTTGCAAAGAAAATTGCCAATACTAAAGATTCTCACTACAACGAACAAGATAGAAATAGAAGTGAAGCAAAGACTACCTCATCAACAATCATAGAAGATGGCATGTCCTCAGCCAAGTTTGCCACCAACGACTTCTCCATTCGTGAGGACTTCCCCTTGTCTAAGCGAGAAGATGTTGCCACAACGGACGGACTCATAGGAGTATCTGCAAAACTCAAGAGCAACAAATCAGAAACCAACGGCACAAGCAAAGGTAAGACATCAAAAGACTGAATTACCTTCTGCTTCGATGTTTGGGGGGTTGACGTCCTGGGGAGAAGGTGGCTCATCCATGGGTTGTGATGAGGACTCTGGGACTGAAGATGTCTCTTTAAGCGTAGCCCCCTCATCAACTGATTTAGATGAAGCAGCCTCAGTGAAGGATGATGGAGCAGGAGCTGTCGATGCCAAAAGCCTTTGAAGGAGAGGCTGAACTTTTCTGAGAAATCCAAAAGATCATCAGCACACAGAAAAGTTTCAAGTGTGGAAAAGTATGCTTATGAGTAAACCAATTTAATTACCTTCCTCCTGACGATAAGAGGGGCATCATCATCATCATCATCAACATCATCCTCCAGAATGGGAGATGCTGAGCCTAGCTGTTTGCGGCTTGGGGCATTCTTGGCTGTAGTAGGCTTGGCAGGGAGAGAAGAAGATGGACGAGCAGACTGTTTAGTGCGACGAGAAGGAGAAGGACTCCGAATGGACAAGGGAGTGACTAAAACAGGAGGAGGGGAAGAAATGCTCGGCTGGTCTAGTGAATGAAAGGCACGATTGGCGTCAGTTGCAAATAATATATGCTTCACTGACGGCTAGAGCTGTTCAAAAAGTGGGTGAATGGCGTGGCTAGAATTGAAGGGGGCTAATGAAAAATGGCTGTTTAAAAGAAGATTGCGAGCATTTATAGCCTCTGCCTCCGCCTTATTAATAGTATGAAAATGGTCAATTAAGTTCCTTAAATAGCAAGGAGGAACATGCCAAGTTTGGCCGAAACCAAGCTGGCGAGCAAAAAATTGGGGAGCATAAATTTCTACCCCTGCCTTAGCATTGGTCCCAGTTAAAATATCATGAAATAGCTCCCTCCAAGTTAAAAACTGGATCCAAATAAGCAGGGAGGTTCTCGCATTGTCTATAGTGGAGGGGGAATGTACATAGTTTGGAGTCAAAAAAGAAGGAAAAGGAAAAAAGGAAGAGATTGAATCCAAAGAATAAAAGAATGAAAAAATATCCCTTCTGGACATATTTACAGGAGCCAAGGGCTCCATGGCTAGCCCATAACAGCTAGCAGAGGAGCGAGAAATTGATGGAGCATCAAGCAATGGAAAATAGGATCTCAACCACAGTTGAGTGAACCAAAGAGGTCCATTGCCAGTGGGAGATGCACCATTCTTCAATTGAGTTTGAAGAGAGGCCATGCCTCTATAAAGGGCAGCCAAAAACAAAGAACATAAATTCAAAGGCCTACCACGTGCCAATTCGTGCACTATAGGTAAGTAACTCAGGGAGGGCTTTATGCTTGGCACACACAAAACATATTTACAAAGCCAAACTAGAAGGAAGGCCACTCGCTCAGTATGGGAAGGCTCAGTACTCGAATGATTGTGAAGGGTTTGCAAGCTTGAATAAGATTCGGTGTAGTTTTTACCAAACTTTGGGGCGCCACCAGAAACCAAGATACCAGGAAAAATGGTATCGCCCAAAGGTGGTAGATTCACCAGGGCCCAAACATCCCTTAAGGTAATAGACATGGGGCCAAGAGGGAAAATAAAGGCATTATACTCGGAAGACCAAAAACTCAAAGCAATCGAAAAAAGTGCTGAATCAAAAGTAGGGGGGCGAATAGAGATTTCTAACAAATCAGAAATCCTAGCGCTATCAAAAAGTGCCTTAGTAGGACCATGACCCACAAGGCGAGCATGCCACCTACGGAAAGCTACATCGGATTTAGGCCAAGTGCGAATACCTCTCTCACGAAGTGGCCCCAGTGGCAAAGAGTTTAGAAATGAAGGGCCTTGAGTACAAGAAAACAGCTGACCCACCGCCGCCTGTTCAACTGCCTCTGCATTGTTGAAGAAATGACCTAAGTAGAACTCATTGCGTTCAACATCAGCGGGCGCGAGAAAACTCGGTGTTATGTATGGACGACTCAGGAGTTTCTGAAAGTCATCAAAACTAAAGGAGTCGCCAGCTTGAGATTGTGAAGCAGCCATTTGAGATGGAACGAAGTTTTTCAGGGTTACGTAGTAGGGAAGCAAAAGATGAACAGTAAATCGTGGGAGAGACGCGAAAAATTTGAGGTGTGATTTGGTGGTACAATGAAATGGCGTGTTTGGGGGTTATAAGGGTTTGCAAAACGACGCACCTTTTCAAGTTATAGAAGAAAACAATGATTGAAATTCTTGAAAATTTCGAATGTTGCTGGAAACACAAAGTGAATATGGCAAAATTTAATAATTATTATTAATTCTGCCATATTGGGGGGTAATTGTTGACACATAAAAATTCAGCCCAAATCGAACGGCTCAAGGAGTGAAGCCCAATTGGAGGATCCCCAAATTAGATACCCCAAAGAACGAAGCCCAATCAAACAAATCAAGATGAAGGCCTAAATAGGGAGGCCCAAAAACGCGGTAACGCCATCGTCCAAGCTTGCAAGTCGCCCAGAATCTGAACGAATGGAGTGTCATACAGTCGCCCAGAGTTGTTACTCTATTCTCGCTCAAACCTTCAAGTCGCCCAAGGTCTTAACAAACATAAAGCGTCATGGTTATCAAAAAGTGCAGTTATCAAAGCAGTTATTAAAGCAGCCCTATCACGTTCCACGATTTAAGGAATTCAATCGAAAGCGGTTGAACGACAAAGAGTAATGGCAGCAGTTAAAAAAGACAGTTTTCATGACAAGTTGGCCATTACGAAGAAAGTGGCAGTTATAGGACGATCAAGCAGTTTTTAGAGCGGTTGATCACAAAAAGATCGTCCATGAAGTATAAAAGGGAGAAAAGATATAGAGCAAAAGATCGAATCAAAAACTCTCGAACAGAGAACATGTAATTTTAATTTCCTTAGTTTAGACTTAAACACTTTTCTTTCAGTAACTCGTGTGCTTGCGCCCCTTGGAGGCACGTTATTTTTAATTTCCAATTGTAAAGTCATCGCCAATAAAAGAACACCCCTTTTTGGGACTTTGTCTCGAGAGGTTTGTCCCTTACACAATCGTCTGATCCCTTTTAATTGTGAGCGACTAACCCGCGCAAAACAACTACAGAAGTTTATCCCAGTAATTCTTAATATTGAGTGTTACATCTCGCATAGCTCATTTTTAAAATATGAAAGTTTTCATTTCGACGGGTTTTGCAGATTGCTTTTAGAACAAAAGTTTTCCACCCAAATATAAACAGTAACAGAACTATATGCCCTGCAATGTTTGAGAATTACAGTGCTGCCGTAACTGTTCCCAAGGTTTGTTTTCTAATTCTCTAATGTTGGTTCACCTTATTTGTCCATGTATTCAACCTTCTACTTTGAAAATAAGTCCGGGGTTCTTAACATGTTGTAATTGTACATTTGGATCCCCACCACCCTTCTATTTCTTTGGCACTTGAGTCCCCAATCATACTAGTTTGTAGCACCTTGATCCTTGGGGGAGGATTTTGTCCATTTGTCCATTAACGAGTTAGATTTTTGTCTAATGACTGTTAATTGTAGTGTGGAGGAGCCATAAAGATAACTCAGTGGGGACATGACATAAGTTTTATTAAACATAGACGTTTTGAAATTGTTATGTATTTTCTCGGTTAATCACAATTATTTCGTACATGTTTTAATAATTCAAATGCTTTGTAATGAATTTCTTATTAATATCAGTGGACAAAATGTAAGGCCAATCTTTAGCCATTGTGTATTTTTGTCTGAACTTTATTTGTTAACAGTACAATAACAAAAATGTTCCAAAACATTGTTAATATCTGCCCCTTACCATTATGAAATAAGTTAGAAAATTGATGTTCAACACCCAACTTCCAATTGCATTGATGGTCACCTTTAGACCATTGGGGGTAGTTTTTGTTACAATACCCAAAGATTAAAAAAAAATGAAAAGAAAAAGGTTGATTTCCAATTTTGATTGGTTTGCTTGGTCTCATTTTCACTCTTCTTCTACGACGTAGTTCTATGATAAAAAATGGTTTCGCCTTCACATATATGAGTGAATACTTTAATTATAAGTACTCACTTTTTTTTTTGAACCCAAAATTCTTTACTTATAAGCATGCAAACTCTCTTTAATTTGAAAAGCTAACTTCTCATATACTGGACCTCATCCCTCTACCAATGTAACTTATTTTTATTTAAACGAAAACAATTGAACATCTTTCTCCAAATTCACATCCTTTTCCCCACCCTAAAACTTCCATCAAAGGAATAGATGGTGGTTGTGAACCAACCAGGGACAGACCCAATGAAGGCCCAGTGCACTGCCTGCACTGAACTTTGGAAAAAATATTTTTACCATCACCAAGATCTGCCATATTCAAGCTATCATTGTTGCTCATATTGAAAAACTAAAGGGAGAAAGGGAAAACCAAAAACCTAAAAGTGTTTATAGGACCCAATTAAGGTTGTGTTTGGTTTATCATGTCTCTGGGGTTTGGTGTGATTTCAATATTTGATGGGTTGGAATGAGATTCTGAATTGTTATGTGGCTGCTCATTTATAGTATTGGTTTATTGTTGGGCAATTTACACAAATATGGACGAAATGGGCTGAACAAAAAATATTAACATTTGGTAAATATTAAAAGTAATGACCTTAGTTAGTGGTTAAAGAAAAGTAGAATAATTTTTAGCATAATGTTTGTGTTGTAATGTTATTGTTATTTCTTTTACCTTTACTAATATCTTTTGCAATAAAAAAATTTCTAGGTCCGGCCCTAGAACTAACTGGTGTTCAGCTAGATTGCCTCTACATATTTATCTACCTCTTTTTTTATGAAAAAAATATACCTATATAACATTAGGACAACTTAATTCTCTTTCTTGGATTCTTTGGTACACTATAATCTTCCACCACCACTAATCTTCTCTCTCTCTCTCTCTCTCTCTCTCTCTCTCTCTCTCTCTCATTCATTTACAAATTGGATTCTTAGGTACTCCATAGTCATTGTCTTCCACCATCACTAACCTTCATGTTCTATCTCTCAAAATCTTCACTTATTTTGTCTAGCGTATTTTACTGTCGACATGGAAGGAACATTCTAGTGTAGAAATCAAAAGAGGGCACAAACTTGAAATCTTATTGATTTGGTTGCTACAGTAAGGGATCCAATTTCCCAAAAGATTTTATTTTATTTTTTCCTCTACACTGAATAAATTGCTCCTTCAATTGCTTTGGCTTGGTAATTCAAGTTAAACTTCTAATGTAGTTGAATTGTTTGGTTATCAATTTTAGGTGTTACTTATTATTTCTGCATTGTTGGCGGATCCAGTCATTGATGATCCTTTGGTGCCTGAGATTGCTTACATTTACATTATGGACAAGAAGAAGTATGAAGCCATTGCAAGGAGTTGGACTCGGAAGTACGCCATGGAGTAGTATTAGTGTTGGGATTTGGACTCTTTGGAGGAAAAAACTAGTACAAATAGTGTTCACTTCAATCAGTACACTTGAACAATTTGGAGAAAAATAGGCTAATTTGTTTGAATATGCATAAACTCTTTTCTCTTTTGTTTGCATGATTGTGACTAGTGAGTGTTCAGGAGAAAAATATTGTAAACTTAGCATCTTAATTTTTCTTGTTCTCTTTGTGAGTTGTTCCAAGATTTAAAAATTCTGGTTGTGGTAAAACTTTTGGCAATATTTGTTTTAAAATTGATGCAGGATGAAAATGAATTCCTGTAAAGTAGTTAGAACAGGCAGAATATAGCATAACCAGAAGAAGAAGAAGAAGGCGGAAGCAGTAAGAAAGGGGGAGGAACCGGAGAGAAACAAGGGAGAACGAGGGGAGACTAGGGGACAAAAAGGGAGAAGCAAGGGGGAAAACGGCCGGCTGCAAGCCAAAACCAACTTTCAATTCTAATTCATCATCAACTGTCTCAAATGAGAAACAAAACAGAAATAAATAGCAAAACACAAACCCTAAAGAGAAGGGCTTGGGCCAAACCACTAAACAAGCCCAATAACGAAAACATAAACAATAGTCCAAATAAAATATAACTAATAGAAAATAAATAATAAATGGATGTCAGCATCAACTCTCTCGGGGTGGGAGAAAAACTCGACCCCGTCGAGTAGATAAAGCAGAATGTTGCACTGAATCTGATGCGAAAGGCTCCAAGTCATGCCACAGGGAACGACCTTTCTCGATGACCAAATACCGAAACTCCACAAATGATAACAAGGATAGTTGTAGCTTATCCTCAAGGATATGATCCAACCAAGGAGGACAATCTTTCTTTGTAATCACATACCGATATTGAACTCCCAATAGTAAAAATTCATGCCACTCATCTCCAAAATCTTCCTCATTGGTCAACACAACCTGTTTATCTAAACTAGCATCAATTACATTTTTGTGTACTGTGACATGTGTTATTGGAGTGAAAATGGTAATATATTTAGGTTGGGGATCCACATAAGGAAGTAGAAAAGGATCATCAAGGAAATTAAAAAGGCCTTTGTAAGTAACTAAGTCTTCAATATGTAAAGTAGAGTGGTGGCCAAAATGTGATGAAAAATTAATGACATGTGTGTATGGACCAACATGCTTTAAAACTTTAAAAGGATCAGCACTACCGGCTTGCAATATAACATAATCCCCAATATGAAATTGAAAATATTGTTTATGCAAATCAGTTTGAAGTTTATATAATGCATTACTTACATGAAGTTGTTTATTGATCTTCATATGCACATCATGAAGATGATGCACAAATGCTTCAACTGATATCGACACACTAGCATGTGGGGACATGGAAATAAGGTCTAACGGCTGCCTAGACTTATAACTATGAACAGCTTCAAATGGATTCAAACCTAGAGACCAATTTACAGAATTGTTATACGCAATTTGAACAGTTGGGGGAATCAAGTCCCAATTTCTAAGATTTTTCTGGACTAGAGACTTGAATAAATTGCCAGGACTTTGGTTAACGACTTCATTTTGACCATCAGTTTGAAGTTGGTTAGTAGTGGGGAAGGTTGATTTAATGCTAACCACAGGCGACTGGATTCTCCAAGGGTGGCCAGTGAAATCATCAAGCTCTTTGAGTTGTGTAAGGGTATGACATATAACATGTGACTGAGAGTTGTCAGAAACAAGGGGTATAGTATCTAAAGTCTCGAGAAGAGTCTAGAGTCCACCTAAAGAAGTGTCCTCACTATCATCCAAGTCATCAAAATCTTCAAGTTTAGGTTCATAGACTAGATCTTCTAATGGCATATCTATTACATTCTTTCGTTCTTCCATGACTAAGGTTCGATTAGTACATTTGGAAGAAATGTGGCCAAAGTCCTTACAACTGATGCACAACAAGTGAGAAGAAGTCCTTGAAGCTTCAAAAATTGTACCCTTATTTTCCAAGATTGTATAAAGATTAGACGGGAAAGGTCTTAGAAGGGACTTAACGGGAGGAGGTGGAGCCAATGAAATCGAAAGATGTTTGTCAATATGCTTTCTACATGGAGAAGAAGATCTTGGACTATCACGACCTTTACAATTATTTTTCCAAATAGGAGGAACATTAGACGGAGAAGGCTTTATGATAGACTTGTGACGAGGCGAAGCTAATGGGATGGGTGAACGACGATGACCACGCCTTTCATATGGAGTACTAATAATCAACTCATAATCTCGAGTTAACGAGTAAGCGTGATCAAGAGTAGTGACACCTCGAAGGAAAAGCTCACGCCTAAGATCATCTCTCAGACCTTGGCTAAACCTACTCAAAGTCGTAGTCTCATCCTCAATTAAATGACATTTGATTCGAAATTCCTCAAATTCTGCGATATACTCAGTCACTAGTTGATTTCCTTGTTTAAGGGCATTCCATTGAGTAAGAATTTCAAAATTATCTCGTTCTCGCTCACGAATCTGATCCCTATACCTACGATCGTGTCTAAAGCATTTTTGATCACCATGATGATGATGATAATGTCTATTATGGGACACTTTGGATTTATGAACGTCTGTTGAACGAGGGATTTTCTTAAAGTTGTTCAAATTAGCAGATAAAGCCTTACTTTCTTCAAGAGTAGTAATCACCTGAGTTCCGCTATTTGTCGGGTGAGTGCATCAAATTGTGAGGGGTTCATGTTAAAGTAGTAAAGTGACAGGACGACCACTATGCAATTGTACGCAAAGCAATACTACCTAAATGAAATGCAATAGAGAGACCAATATGCATCAAGGACCAATGATTAAAACATCAATTTGAAATTCTCTCTCTCTCTTTTCTTCCCTTCCAAAAATGCAAGTTAATAGTGCTGATGCTTGTAAATAATAAAGCAAGGGTCCAATGCTTGTCATGATCAAATGGTATTGTTAAGATTTCCAATCAGGTAGATAAAAGAGGTAACAATGGCAATCAATTCAGTGAGATAAATGGGGCAACAATGGCAAGTCAATTCAATGAGTGATTCTAGTCAAGTGAAGTTTGAGGCCAAAGTTGTGATAGTAACAGCAATACAAAGAATCTAAGTGATGCACTTTTAAAATAAAATAGCAGTATAAACCAATGAGAATTAGGAGATAGCAACTCCCTGTAGTCTAGTTGCATTACTAATGATTGGGCCTCTGATCTGCCTGTGTCAAATGTCTCCAGCTCCTGAACTCACGGTCATTGCATATTCTAAATTGTTGGCTTCACTGAAATTGGACAGATGCTGAAATAGAAACCTCTATGTAACTGAATGGGTTGCTTGGTAGTAGAGACAGTAAACTACTTGATCAATGAAGTCGGTGGCTGGCTGCAATCCTCAAAGAAAGTTGTTGAACAATTGGGCCAGTGGTGGGTCACCTACGATGATGCTGCTGTCGGCGGAAGGGCAGTTGCAGTTAATCGGCGTAGATACTGTGATGGCCTGGCTTCTGAGGAATTGATGCGTGAATGTGCCTGGGTAATGAATGGGTCTCTTCAATTGATGATGGGTGTGTGGGCTGCTGACAAAATTGAAGAATGGCCAATTATAATTAAAGGGCAAGAAGATGGAGAAGTATAGTGGATTGTTGCCTATGTGAGGGGGATGATTGATTATTGTAGGTAGCGGCTTTGTTGATGTGGAAGGAAACGAGAGATGGGGCTGTAGTTGGTGACGACTGCGAGACACCGCCGCAACGCTGGGGAAGCTGCGCTGTGCCAGGCGAAAAGAAGAAGACGGTGTGAGGAGGATGACATGAGTTGTGCGATACTGGTGCTGGTGGTGGAGATGGTGGGTTGTGAGTGGGTTTTCGGTGATTGATGGTTTGCCGACGCTGAAGGTTCGGGTGATTGGGTTGCCGGCTGGAGTATTGAGTTTCTGGAAATGGATTAGTGGGCTGGGCCTGGGTTTGTTGAGAGAGGGTAGGTGAGCTGGGTCATCGATTTGGATCAAACAGGGAAACAACTACTGGGTTACGTTAAATGGGCTACGTAATTTTCTAGATGCCCGAGCTAGTCTAGGGTTATGAGGCTAGGGTTTTGAATATAAATCTGTAAAAATTGATTAATATTAAACAACAACAATAATAGAACTTGAGCAGCAGTGTGCAACAATAGACTTCTAAATGATAAAGGCTTCAAATTTTTATTTATTTATTTATTTTTACTGATTTCGGGTGAACAGTAACCCGAACAGTAACCTCTTTCTCTCTCTCTTTTTTTTTTTTTTTTGCAACTAACTGAAATTGGAGAAACTGCTGCTGAATTTTTTTTTTAATTGCTGTTCTAAGGTTTTGACGGAAGATGGTTAAAGGGTTTGGATGAGCGATTGGATGGCGGTGTTGTGTATATTTTTGTGAAGATGAATGGAAAAATATCTGAAAGACAATTGAAATATTCCCAATTTTAGCTCTGATACCAATTTGATGCAGGATGAAAATAAATTCCTGCAAAGTAGTTAGAGCAGGCAGAATATAGCATAACCAGAAGAAGAAGAAGAAGAAGGCGGAAGCAGTAAGAAAGGGGGAGGAACCGGAGAGAAATAAGGGGGAACGAGGGGAGACCAGGGGACAGAAAGGGAGAAGCAAGGGTGGAAATGGCCGGCTGCAAGCCAAAACCAACTTTTAATTCTAATTCATCATCAACTGTCTCAAATGAGAAACAAAACGGAAATAAATAGCAAAACACAAACCTTAAAGAGAAGGGCTTGGGCCAAACCCACTAAACAAGCCCAATAACGAAAACATAAACAATAGTCCAAATAAAATATAACTAATAGAAAATAAATAATAAATGGATGTCCGCATAAAAAATACTTGGGTGTTTTTATGAGTGAAATTCTATATAGTGGTAACATTTTTTTAATTTAGTGAGATCTTTGATAGTTCGTAATGGTTGTTCACAATGTTATTGTTTTTGAATTGGAGATCATTGTAGTCAAAATTGATTATAAGCACA